CTGGTCTCAGAATAATCAGTCATCATCAGCCTGTCAAGACTCAAGCCCCAGCATATCAGGTCATGGCCTACCTCTTCTCCTTCTATTTCTTCCCACACACTCATATTGCTATCAAACTCTACATTTGGAGATTTAAGGTTCAGGAGGCATATGCCAAGCAGTTCAACAAGACCTCTCATGTGGTAGGGTCTGAAGACTACTGGAAACATAATGTAGCTGCAGGAAAAATCTCTGCCTGTTATGAAGAATGGGGAATCTTTTACATTCTGATTAAGGAGCCATGGCATTCCAACTGGAAAATGGGAGTCACTGTGAACATTTACTATAGCATCTATCAAATCTGCCCACCAGATATGTTCAAAATATAGAGGACACACATTCCCCTCCCAACCCCTAAGAATGGATGGAGTAGAAGTGGTCCAAGCTCCTCAAAAGCTCTTAATGTCATCCCTTTTTTTTTGATCCCACCTCCCTGTCACACCATCTCTTGTTTCAGACCCTAACTACTGCATATCAGCTATTGAGTGACGCTTATGCTGACCATTTTGGAGAATGCTTATTATGTGTCCCCCCAGGGTCAAATGCTCACTCACTATTTGTGGCCTCACTCATTGTCCTATTAGAGTCTCTCACCTTAGCACTTGTTAATTGCTCCAAGCCAAATGTTACTACTACCCCTTACCTCTCTCACATTCATCTCTTTGGCATTACAGACTGCTTTAACTCCTCAGGAATACATTTTGTGAGTACTCTAGATTCTGCAGACTGCAATAATATCATTACCCTTGGTACTAACACCCAGCCCCTGTGTCCAAATATTCACAATGCCTCTATTCTCTGTGGTCCTCAAGTTTATCACTGCTTACCTGCTAGGTGGTCTGGGACTTCTGCCCTGGTATTTCTGTTCCTAAATTATGTATGGTACCTGGAGATGAACCCTTGCCAATTTCCCATCACCAAGTTCATAGCAGGAAGGCAAGACAAGCAGGCCATCCAAATAACACCCTTTCTAGCAGCCTTGGGCATAACTGCAGGTATAGTCCCTGGAATAGCAGGACTAACTACTTCCCTAGATATTACCATTGGCTTTCCTCACGATTCATCCAGGATTTCCAACAGGTAGCTCAGACTACCTTTAATTTTCAGGAACAAATAGCCACTGGACACCATACTACTGCAAAACTGGAGAGGATTATATTTATTAACAGCAAAAAGAGGTGGTCTTTGTCTCTTGTATAAGAATGTTGCTTTGATGTCAATCAATCAGGGATAGTGAAAGATAAGATCCAACCACTCTAAATGGATCTTCAAACTCAGAAACAAACCTCTAGACAGTGTATCACTAATAGATAAGGAAATAGATGCTACCTTTCTTATCCCCTCTTTTCTTCCTTTTTTTAGCCCTACTAATTGCACCCTGCCTCATAAACCTCTTTGCTAGTTTTTCTCAGCAGCAGATCCAAAATATTTCTAACCAAACTCTGAACCAGTTACTATTACAGGATTACCAGCCCCTGTTGACGAAGGCAGAGATCTGCAGGAACTGGTTACATCCTGAGAAGATGATCAAGATTGTCCCAAGAACCTCGATGCCCTAATTTAGCAGGAAGCAGACTAGACATAACTTCACCCTCTTTACCACCGCCAGCTGCTTATTACCCTTTTCAATCCTCAGCTGCTAATTACCCTTACCAACCCTGAGCTGCTTATTACTAAATAAAAAAGGGGGGAACATAGGGAAAAGAGGCTGGCTAACGAAACCGACCCTGACCCAGGAGCCCAGTGCTAGAGAAAGATGGTTCAGATCAGGGCAGAAAGAAACACAGTTTGGCTCAGTCAGATCAGAGCCATCTCTGTCCCTGGTCAACTGATTGTGAAGTCAACCAATCACAGAGCAGGATAGTAGAACCCTGGGCCTGGGCTTGACTCCACCGCTAGACTTCCTGTGCAAACCACCCTGCAGAGTGAGTTAGAAAAAAGAGCTGTTCTCTCCACCCTGGTAGAGGTAGCTACTCTCATGGACTCCTCCTTCCCAAATAAATCTCTTTCTCAAAAGAGTTTTGGGTGAGAAGACCTTCATTCACTGGTGCACAGAAGAACCTTGCTGAGATGTCCCATAATGGATTGAGCAAGGGGGAACTGAACAGAAAAACCTTGCTAAGACATCCCATAGTGGGTTGAGCAAGGGGAGTTGAACAGAAGAACCTTGCTAAGACATCCTATAGTGGATTCACCAAGGGGGAACTGAACAAAGAACCTTGCTAAGGCATCCCATAGTGAAAATTGAACCAGGGGTAACCGAACAGAAGTACCTTGCTAAGATTTCCCATAGTGGACTGAGCAAGAGAGAGCTGGTAACACTGACCTGGAGGTCTCCAGGAGAGGAGCGGGATTGCTGTGTCCTTCAGGGAGACCATCCCCCATCACACCAAGTATAGCCTGACTTTCCCAAAGAGTCAGGATACCCTGACTTTCCCCAACAGTCAAGATACCCTTCCCTGCTGAAGCAGTTCCAGGCCTGACTCTCCCAAGAAGTCAGAAAAACTTCCCTTCCAGAGTTGGGCTGCTTCTTTGCAGTTCCAGCTGTTACAGCTGTGCTACACAGCTCCAGCTGTCTGGCACACCTTCAGGGCAGAGCTGTTGTTCTGAGCATCTTGAAGTATCTGGGATACCTCGCCCTGCAGAGCTGAACTGTCTTTTTTTGCAGTTCAGGCATCAGAGCTGTGATACACAGGTCCAGGTGTTTCCAGGTAGTCAGGACACCAAACCCACAGAGTTGCAAAACACACCTTTTGCACCCAATTCACTTACAGTTTTGGTGCGGAAACCCGGGATAGACTCCCTTGGTGCCTGTCTGCTCTCCCCTTGTGGTCTGAGCCACACTAGGACTCTATCCCTTTTCTCCAGTCCATCTGCAAAAGACCCAACTTCCAGTTCACTAATGACTCAGATTTCCATCTAACAGCGGCAATTAGGTGAGTTGCCCTCTTGGTTGGTGTAAACATTTCCCTGCATCTGAGGAAGTGACCAGTGAGTGTCCAGTACCCCTCTAGAGTTCTTGGAAGCAGAGGAACCCCAAGCCATGGTCTTTAAGGCTATGGCTAGCCTTATTCTCCTGACCACACCCTCCCATCCTCAGAGCTGCAACCAGGCTTTTAAGCATCCCTCACAGTGATCACCCACCTTCCCACAATAGGAGCCATAAAAACCTATCTTTTTCAGTCCTTTCTTCTGAATGGCTGGTGTCTGGTTTGTACTCCCTGAGTCAGGAGACAACCATGACTACAGGATGCAGAGACTATTTCCCTCAGCTCTCATCCATGGGAACCCTGCATTACAGAGATAGTATCACATGTATTGCAGGTTATGATGCAGCCCATTTTCTATTCAAGGATGAGCATGAACTTCGGCTCCTCCTCCCTTTATCTCCCATTGCTGGGATTATCCATACACTCATGGCATGACACAATAGAGGGCTCATATATAACAGGAGAGCTGGAGTAGAAAAAGAGACTTTAATATGGACTTTTTTTTTTTTTTTTTTTTTTTTTTGTTTTTCGAGACAGGGTTTCTCTGTGTAGCTTTGCGCCTTTCCTGGAACTCACTTGGTAGCCCAGGCTGGCCTCGAACTCACAGAATTCTGCCTGGCTCTGCCTCCCGAGTGCTGGGATTAAAGGCGTGCGCCACCACCGCCTGGCTAATATGGACTTTCAATGCCAGGCCAAAAAGAAGTCAACTAGTAGGCATGGGTTTGAAGGATACGTGCATCTCTTGCTTTCCTTCTACTTGGGAGACAGGTTGCCAGGTAACCTGAGGAAGGTCTACAACTCTTTAAGTAGAATAGAATGATCTTTAATTCCTGATATTCCTGCCCTCAGTGGTTGGGGTCTCTGCATATTTACAGGTTCTGCAGGTATGCAAAGTCCCATGTGAAAAAGTTAAGATGTGAGCCCCATATCAGGAGACCCTCTCTGAGTAGCCAGTGTCCAAGGAAGCCCTATCTTTTAGGTTGGAATCCCAGGTCTTCCAAGCAAGCTTTAATACACTTTTGATAGCTGAATATAGCTATGTGTTTTATACTAGTCAATGTCTCTTCCCACCATCTATCTTTGTGTTTCTCTCTCTCTCCCTCCCTTTCTCTCTTTCTCTCTTTCTGCCTCTCGTCTATATCTGTCTTTCTGTCTTTTTCTGTCTCAGCTGGTCTTCAGTATTTGCCAAAATACAAATGAATTACCCTCTAAAGGAGAGGTTCTCAAGTTACCTAATACTTGAACCTTTTAATAAAATTCCTCATGTTGTGGTGATCCCCAACCATACAATTATTTTGTTGCTCCTTCATAACTACATTTATGCTAATGTTCTGAATCCTAATGTAAGTGTCTGATAATTGAGATGTTTTAGGAGATCTCTGTAATACAGTTGGTTGTTCCACCCATAAAAGGGGCTATGACCCACAGATTGTGAACCTCTGCCCTAATGACAGTCTACCCTAATGAAAGGTCTGTTTTCCCACCTCAAAGATCTAGCTCAGAAATGGAACATTCCACACAAAAGGATCAAGGAAAAATACCTCAAAAGTGTGCTCACCCACATTGAGGTTCTAGCTAATCTTGGATGTAGTTAAGTTGAATACTAAGAATACCCAAAATGAGTTCAACGTTTTCCAACTGGAAACCCATTCATATCACCTTATGTCATGCTTACTTCACACGTATAACAATAATGAAGTCACAATGACCCCTAGAGTGAGTGTAATTGTATGATATGACAAGGATGAAGCAAGAGTTTCTTTTGAAACTTTTATTTGATTCCACTTACTACTCTTCACTGGGGAGGCAGAGAAAGAAATTGACACATACAAAACATAATGATTCCGATGTTGTTAGAGAAAATTCAAGGAATCTACACTGTCTCCTCTTAGGCCCGTGGTGCTCATAAGAAGTTGAACATGGCTGATGAAGGCTGGATTCTTCAGGGCCAAAACAGGAAGAAGGTGTGGCACAGTCAAATGTTTTCAAGTCTCCCATCAGGAAATCAAGAATGCCCACTGTACGTCATTGTTGGTGGGTTCCCTTGAAGCTCTCCGGAAGGCACAGGGAAGCCATAATCCCAAGGCTGGTACACGGGAGTTGGCCAAACCATTGGAGGTTGAGAGTACATGTGAAGCATGGGGTTACCAGCTCCGTCATAGAGAGGTCCTGTGGGAGAAGAAAGGGAGGGAGGGAGGGAGGGAGAGAGAGAGAGAGAGAGAGAGAGAGAGAGAGAGAGATCATAAGCATGGTATCCTGATTTTTCCTGAATCACCTTCAGTAATTAATTGGCCCCTTGGTCAAAATCAACTATGAACAAGTCATAGTTCCATTGCTTGGGTGTGAGAGGGAGTTAGACACACAGGGAGGCCAGACATTGCTGCTTTGTGCCACAGAGGCCTGTGGGAATGGGGCTTGCCTACATTCTGTGCCCATGAAGAAAGGCCAGCTGAGACCACCTTCTATAGAGCCTCAGAGGTCTCTGCAGAAGGGACTAACCTGGGCAGGGGCTCCACTCTTGTCTGTGACCAAGGATCCTGTAGAGGTGCTCCGAATATGGAGAAAACAAGGGTTCGACCCCTGCTCTCTCACGAGAGAGCCGCCAGTGCAAGGTCTTTAGATCAGTCATCAGTTGCAAACAGTCTTGCCAGGTCTTCCTTAGGCCTCGCTGACAGAGTCGCTGTCGAATAGCCCTGACTTTTTTACAAGTTTTTTGCCCTTTGTGGCCCACTTCTTGTTCAACGACTTCCCATTCCATCAGGAATATCCTAATTTCGCTATCATTCCAAGGCCTATGGGAAGGATCTGCAAAGGACAGAGAAATGGGTCAGAACATTTCCCAGCATGCACATCTAAACTTTTCCTGGGGACTCTTCCTGCACACTGATCAGCCACAGGGCCTTCATTCACGTATCATGAGATTACAAACACCTGCTAGTTGGCCAAGGATTAGGCATCTACCCTGCCCTTAATTGAAAGGAGTACACTCACTGGGAGTGCATAGGTGTCTTCAGTTTTAGAAAATACATTTCAGAATAGAAGAAGCTTTCACAGGACAAGGGGGACCTGGGAACGCTGTTCCCACCAAAACTCATAACCACCCCTCCCACACCCCAGGGGGCTTATCCTAGACCCTGAAACTCTGTCTCTACTGTGAGAAGGTCAGAGATCTGGAACCACTGAGTACCTCTCTATCCTCACTACTGCTGCTCACATCTGGGGTTTGCCATAATCTCAGGAATCACAGATCAAGAAACGCAATAGAAGGTTTTTGGGTTAGCACACATTTCTCGATGATTACCTGAGGGGCTTCCTTGTCTTTCCTGTTGCCCACTCTGGTCCATTCTGCCTTCTTGGGTGTTTCTCAAACTTTTGACTTGGTTTACTTTTCTCTGTCAAGAAATGAACAAATGAGTTCTCAACACCATTTTTATGCAACAGGGATAGCTGTGTGTGGATTAAGGACCCAGCCTCTTGCAGCATTAGCAAACAATGGACCCTTCATTCCTCATCTACAGATTCTGGTCATTCTCACCTAATGGGAAGCTTGGTTGTCAAGCTTTACCAGGGAAAGCCTCCAGTGAGCACCATCGGTGACCCTGTGGAAGGGACAGATGAGACACAGAAAGACCTGTCCTGGGAGATGATGGTGTAACAGCAATTGCTAAAAGGCCTTATCAATAAAAAAACAAAAAACAAAAATCAAACAAAAAAAAAAGAGGCCAGATATTGGGGTAAATCTGAAGCATCAAGGAAACAAAAGAGCCCACCATTGTTCTTGCCTCTACAAAATCCTCAGCCTTAAGAGTGTGAGTTTCTGTTTGCTCTGGCCTTATATACCTTTCTCTGCCCTGACATCACTTCCTGGGATAAAAGGCGTGTGTGCTTCCCAAGCAAAGGCATGAGATCCCAATGTGGCGTTGAAACCAGAGACCCAGAGGGTTCTGTGCCTCTCCAGTGATAGGATTAAGGGTGTGAGCCATAAATTGTCTGGCCTTTATGGATAATCTAACTTTTGGCTTTGTTCTCAGATTCCCAGATAAGTTTCATTGGGGTGTACAATATATCACCCCAACACCTCACCCACTCTCTTCAGCTCTCACCCATTCCCTCCAAACTTCTTTCTGTTACCTTACTGCTAAAATTCCATCTTAAACGTCCTAATTCACCCTAGCTGTGCTTCAAAAAACTTTAAAATATCAGAAGAATTATGAAACCCAATATTTTCCATCTCCTGCATAGGACCTGGTTGTTTGGCTGCAGGAAATAACAGCAGTTCTTTCCTGAGATGTGCCTGGAGTAGTTCAGGGTCATTCCTGTCCACACAGTGGGTTGCAGAATAGTGTTGAATAAAGCAGAATCTGCCTCAGCAAACTTCAAGTTCAAGGTAGTAAACCTTATTTTTACCTGCTGTCCTGGTCTGTCCAATGAACACATTACCAACACCTTCCATGGGCCTTGCCATGAGTACAAGATGATTCCATAATCATGTGGATTAGAGAATTGTCCCAGAGGTACAAAGTCCACCCTCTAGGATTAATTCAAGGACAAAGGTCCCAGCCATCATCCAGAAAACACAGAATGGATTCCCCAACTTACATACCTTTTTCCTCCTGAGATCTGTCTGGCTTCACAGTATCACAGACCTAGGGTTCTCTGGATGTTGGCAGGTCCCCAGAGACTAGAGTGTGGACAAAGAGCTCCGCTCACCTGCCTGCAACTCTGGAAGACTGCGAACTAAGTATTGATCCCGCCCTTTATATATCCCTTGGTTGTGATGAAATCTGGCCCCGCCTCTCTGGATCATGGGCTGGGTCAGCAGTGGAGAACACCAAGACTGAATCCCATGTCTGGAGGCTGAGACAGGAGGGTGGCCCAGATTTCTCCAACTCAGACTCAATTTAAAATTATCAAAGAAACACAACACAAACAAGACAACTCACTTCAATTTGTGTTTTGTGACATTGGTTTTTTGTTGTCTCATATTTGTTTGTTTGTTTCTATAGAGTCCTGGCTTTCTTAGAACTCACTAAAATTTAGACTTAATCCTTCAGGACAATCTCCCTGATCAGCCAACCTCTGGATCCCCATCATGAGTGCTGGCATTAATGATGTGGGCCACCTTGGCTGCTCAATTTCATGCTCTACCACATTTGCTAAATTTCATTATACCTTTCTTTTCAATTTTTTTATTTAAAAGTCTGTTTTTCCCTGGGCAGTGGTGGCACAGACCTTTAATCCCAGCACTTGGGAGGCATACACAGGCTGATATCTCTGAGTTGCAGGCAAGCCTGGTCTACAAAGTGACTTCCATGACAGGTTCCAAAGCTACAGAGAGACACTGTCTGCAAAACCTAAAACAGAAAACAAATGAACAAATAAACAAAAAGAGTTACGGACTGGAGAGATGACTGTGTAGCATGAATCTTTTTTTTTTTGTTTGTTTGTTTTTTGTTTTTTTTGAGACAGGGTTTCTCTGTGTAGCTTTGTGTCTTTCCTGGAACTCACTTGGTAGCCCAGGCTGGCCTCGAACTCACAGAGATCCACCTGACTCTGCCTCCTGAGTGCTGGGATTAAAGGCGTGCACCACCACCGCCCAGCTATGTAACATGAATCTTAAAAGTTCTCTTAGCCGAGCAGTGGTGGCCCATGCATTTAATTACAGCACTCGGGAGGCAGAGCCAGGCGGATCTCCATGAGTTTGAGGCCAGCCTGGTCTCCAAAGTGAGTTCCAGGAAATGCGCAAAGCTACACAGAGAAACCCTGTCTCAAAAAAAACAAAACACAAACAAAAAAAAAAGTTCTTATTAATAAAAATCAAACCTGAGACCAGTTATTGGGGTGAACTGGAAGATCAGAGAACTAGAACAAGCCACAGCTACCTCACCTTGCCAGATCCTCAGCTTGTCTTGTTTCCTCAGACTGGAAGCCTCTGTGTCCTCATATCTGATTGGCTCTCAGCTGAACTGTGCTGCTAGAAGCCTGAAAGCTTTACCAACCAAATCCTTCTAGTTTCTGGTCCTCATAACTTATATACCTTTCTGATTTCTGCCACCACTGCCTGGGATTAAAGCCTTGCTTTCTGGGATTAAAGGTGTGTGTCACCTTGCCTGGCTGTTTCCAATGTGGCCTTGAACTCTTAGAGATCCAGACAGATTTCTAACTCTGAAGTGCTAGGATTAAAGGTGTGAGTGCCACCATTTTCTAGCCTTTGTATCTAGTGGCTGTCTGTTCTCTGACCCCAGATAAATTTATTAGGGTACACAATATTTTGAGGAACACAATACCACGACATGACTCAGCAGATAACAACACTGGTTGTTCTCCCAGAGGTCCTGAGTTCAATTCCCATCAACCACAGGAGAGCTCACAACCATCGATGATAAGATCTGACACACTTTTCTGGGCTGTAGACGTACGTGCAAACAGAACACTGTATAAATAACAAATACATGTTGCTGTTTTTTAATGTATTTTTTTTTTCATTAACAACCAAAGTTTCTCTTCTCACTTACACCTGCTTGTCCCATATCTTCCATCATCCTTTCCTCAGAGAGGATAAAACCCTAGACCAGAAATTTCAGAAGTCTGGCATATCAAGTTGAGACAGAACCAAGACCCTCCCTACAACTGCATCTCCTGTAAACTTTCATAGAAAACCTGAAATTTACAGAATTTTTTGGGTCTGTTACTTGGTAAATGGGGATCATCTCTAAAACTGCAGGTCCTCCACATATTAGAGAGTGGATGCTCCCATCTTCTTCACCAGGAGGCAAAAAGAAAGAAAGGAGGCAGTTTAGGAGACCAGGGGATAGCAGGAAAGCTCCGCCTGTGGAAAAGTCAGGGGCAGTGGGGCAACAGGGCCTTCTAGGATGGAGGCCACACTGGATATGCCAGTGCTGGGCCAGGCTTCGAACCCTTCTGTCTCTCAGCTCAGCTCACTACTGACACAGCCTGAACACCTCAGTCATGGGTGCTTCTCCCTCCTACAGAGGCACACAATTGTTTATCCACACAGTGGTTCTCACACTGTGGGTCAGGACCCCTCTAGACCTAGAATGATCCCATCACAGGGATGGTCTCAGATTATCAGGAAACACAGATATTGACATTATGATTAAAACAGTAGGAAACTGGACTTACAAAGTAGCAATTGAAATGATCTAATGGTTGGGGGGTCACCACAATATGAGGAACTGTATTGAAGGTGACAGCATCAGGAGGTTGAGGAACACTGCTCTATCCTGTGGGACAGGAGGTTTCCCTGCTGTGTTCACTTTAAAGCAAAGGGGATTGAGGGACAACAGGACAGTGACATCCAACAGGGATTCACATCATCAATATTCAAGGGTAGGGAAAACCTCATTCTGGTCCTTGGTGGGTTTTGTGAGTTTGAGGTTCTGGAGACAGTATCACATGTATCCCAGGCTATCATGCAGCCCACCTTCTGCTCAAGGATGATCAAGATCATCTGCCCCTCCTCCCTTTACCTCCCCATGGCTGGCATTATCCACAAACTCATGTCAGGACACAATACCTCTATTACCTCATACACAACAGCAGAGCTGGAGTAGAGAAAGAGACTCTACTATGGACTTTCAAAGCCAGGACAAGAGGAAGTCAACTGGCAGGCACCCGTGTGAAGGACACATGCATCTGTTTCCTTCCTCCTACTTTGGAGACAGGGTGGCCACGTACCCTAGATCTGGCCTACAACTCCTTCAATAGAACACAATAACCTTGAACTCCTGATGTGGCTTCCCTTGATACTTTGGTATCTCTGCCCATTTAGAGGTCCTAAGGGATGCAAAGTCCCATGTGAAAGAGTGGAGATGTGAGCCCCATATCAGGAGAGCCTCCCAGAGTAGCCAATGTCCATGCAAGCTCTGTCTTTTAGGTGCAGAAGGCCGGATCTTCCAAGCAAGCCTTCACATTTTTTTTGATAACTGAATGTGGCTATGTGTTTTTTTTAGTCAGTCTGTCTTTCTGTCTCTCTGTCTCTCTGACTCTGTGTGTGTGTGTGTGTGTGTGTCTGTCTGTCTGTCTGTCTGTTTTTCTATCTGATTCTCTCTGTCTCTCTCCCACACTTTGTTGGTGTCCAAGCATTTCTTGAGACAATTTACTACAAAGCACTGTGACCTGTGTCTAAAAAATAATCCACAATACCTGCCTATGAACAGAAGGTCATAGGATTTAATAGCTGTAATTCTCTCCCAAAAGATGTCTCAGCCGATCTTCAGTATCAGCCAAACTCTAAAAGAAGTAGCCTCTCATGGAGTGGTTCTCAGCTTTCTAATGTTCGGTTCTTTCAGTAAAAATTCCTCATGTTGTGGTGATCCCCAAC